CTCCCTCAATCAATTTGCAAGCATTTTGCCCAAAGAGGAGGGCGAGGAATTGCAAGTGTGTATATCGCCTCCTTTTATCTTCCAAAGAGCTTCCAGATTGACAGCTTAAAGGAGGCGTGTGGTGCAATTCTCTGCCGTAGCCAAGACCTGCAGGGCCATGTGCCAGCCCCTCTTGCATTGTGCACCTGGCTCCACGCTCGACAGCGCCCAGGAACTGTGTCCACCTGGAGGTGTCAGTGAGCTCGCCTGAAAGCAGTGAGCACTGGTGGGTGGGGAGGAGACGGAGGGTGGCTGAGTGGGGTGGGAATGGCGTGAGTGGAAAGGTGTAGGGAAGAGGGGAGCAGCCGGTCTGGCGGAAGATGGAAGGCTCCCTTCCAGGGCTGACCGACCTCGCGCCAGTGGAAACATGCCAATCTCCCAGGCAGGCAAAGGAGATGACTAGATAGGATTCTTGATGCGAGAAACCAATCCTGCATTGATCTCAGTAGGGTGCTGTTCCTCCCTCCCCGTTCCCCTTTGGTGTACACGACCGTCAGATGCATTATGGGGAATGGGGAGGAAGTACGTCTGGCCTTCCAGCTCCTCTTGTCTGCTTGCCGTAAGTTGCTCTTGCCCTGGAGATGCAAAGAAAAACCCTTTAAACTTAATGGCTCCTCACCCCCTTTCAATTCAGTTAAAAAACAACAGCTACTTTAATGAAAACAAATGCATTATCCTTTAGCTTTGATAAAGATAAAGAGATGGGGGATAAGTTCAATTCAGTTCACCATTTGCAGGTGAACCTATTTAAATCACACTTCCCTTTTTTTAAAAAATATTTAATTGGTTTTTCGGATTAAAGTTCTACAATCACATACAACATAAAAACAGATTCCGAAGAATCTCCTGGACTTCCCTCCTCCCCTTCGTGGTCCTGTTGTCAATCCTTTCCTCCTGCATCTATTTATGATTATCCAAATCTTTTACCTCTCCAGTGTGTCCAAAATTCACCATTAAACTTCAAGTGTTATTCCAATCCTACTAGCTGTTTTACAAATGGTTTTTAAGATTTTATTATTATTTTCCCCATTCCTTATTCCTGATTCTGATTCTTCTGGTCAATGTAGCCATTTCGGCACAATCCATCAATTTAATCTGCCATTGGGGACGCGGGTGGCGCTGTGGGTTAAAGCCTCAGCGCCTAGGGCTTGCCGATCGAAACGTCGGCGGTTCGAATCCCTGCGGCGGGGTGTGCTCCTGTTGCTCGGTCCCAGCGCCTGCCAACCTAGCAGTTCGAAAGCACCCCCGGGTGCAAGTAGATAAATAGGGGCCGCTTACTAGCGGGAAGGTAATCGGCGTTTCCGTGTGCTGCGCTGGCTCGCCAGATGCAGCTTGTCACGCTGGCCACGTGACCCGGAAGTGTCTCCAGACAGCGCTGGCCCCGGCCTCTTGAGTGAGATGGGCGCACAACCCTAGAGTCTGTCAAGACTGGCCCGTATGGGCAGGGGTACCTTTACCTTTTAATTGCCATTCTTCTCTGGTAGGGACTTTATCTTCTTTCCATCTAGAGATCAATTATGTTTTCTGAAGAGAAGATTCACCCTAATAATTTGCCTGGTTCACTTTGTAGTGGTTTTCCTGAAGTTACTGGTATTTACATGGATTTTGGATTTCTCTTGCATATCGCCTGGCATTGAATTGCCTGCATTGTAACTGCCTAAAGCTTCAACTATGGATAAGAAACTATATCTCGTTATTTGGAATTGCCATAGTGGAATTGTCCTTATTCTCTTTTGGGAATGGACATTGATGTAAAGAAGGAAAGGAAAGTATAAACATATTTTTTAAAATCTTCCTAAAATGGTTGGGCATTCTCTAAAATCCATTTTGCAGTATGAAAATGTTCTTTATTTTTACTGGTCTTGGTGTACTCAGATGTAAGTTCCATAGAGTTTATTGGAGCTTACTCCCATGTAAAGGAGTGCAGGATTGCAGCCTTAATACTATGGGGTATCTTGTAGCAGATACATTGTCCCATTTTGCAAGCCGGTTACAGATAAATTGTTATTGTTGTGACTGGGATATGGTACTTAATTGTAACATAAATGCTATATATAGCATGTTGGTAAAGGCACTCTGTTGCTATATATATAATTTTGACTTTAAATTAAAGGTTTGCATCTTTCTTAGCAATAAGTTTCTGCTTGATAGGAGCTGTAGCTTATCTCTCCACTCTTCTGCTCTGTAGGGATTTGGTTATTTAATGTATATTAATAGCAATCAAATAATGTAATTTTTCTTCTTGCACAATATGGGTAATTAAATTAAGGAATTGGAATTTTAAAGCCAGGCCTTTCAAAATCTATGATTAGAGGGCTGGCAGGGTCGAGAAGGTCATTGCAACAATTCCCTCCTTCAGTTAACATCAGCTCCCCACAGACTTAAATTATCTATTATTTGCCCTTTGAATGCAAAGTTTAAAAGGATAAGAAATGGAGTGATGTCGTTTTAAAACTAATGTACAAATAATTCACAGGTATTCTGTGGAAAGTGAAAATGCTATGCTGTCTGCCCTATGCAGTTTTGACAGATGTCTAGTGGAGCTTTTGAGATGTTTCGCTAGAGAGAATTCATTCAGGGGTTCAGCCTCTTTCTAACCCCCTCCAGACGAGAGGAGAGGAACATCTGATTCAGACGGCACTGTATTCATCTGAATGCGCCATATCTCTAACTCCCAAAGGGAAATGTCATCGGTCAGTGGGGGACCATCTGTTTTGAATGCAGAAGGTCCCAGGTTCAGTCCCTGGTGTCCCCAGGTAGGGCTGAAAGAGAGACTTCTTGCCTGAAATACTGGCAGTGGGAGCCAGTGTGGTGTAGTGGTTAAGAGCGGTAGACTCGTAATCTGGTGTTCCGGGTTTGCCTCCCCACTCCTCCACATGCAGCTGCTGGGTGACCTTGGGCTAGTCACACTTCTCTGAAGTCTCTCAGCCCCACTCACCTCACAGAGTGTTTGTTGTGGGGGAGGAAGGGAAAGGAGAATGTTAGCTGCTTTGAGACTCCTTCGGGTAGTGATAAAGCGGGATATCAAATCCAAACTCTTCTTCTTCTGAAGAGCCGCTGCTATCAGTCATTGTGGACAATACTGAGCTAAATGGACCCATGGTCTGAGTCAGTATAAGGCAGCTTCCCAGGTTCTCTATATCCTGAAGAGACAGATGTGATGCATCTTCGTTCAGGTATTATCTGGCCATGACACGAAGAGTTAAGCAAATACGTGCTTCCAAAACACCTAGCAAGTTTGAGATTTCTTGCTGGTAATTTAGAGTGCAATCCCACTCAACAGGGAATAAACCCCATTGAATTCATTAGGTCACAGAGCTTAGGGAAGTTTTTAATGTGTGACATTTTAATGTATTTTTAATCTTTGTTGGAAGCCGCCCAGAGTGGCTGGGGAAACCCAGCCAGATGGGTGGGGTACAAATAATGAATTATTATTATTATTATTATTATTATTATTATTCCGAACTGTGTGTCATAACACAATTGTGTGTTGCACGAACGTTCCCCACAATCTTCCCGGGGCTGGAAAGTGGTTTGCTAGCAAAAGGGACGCTGGTGGCGCTGGGGTCTAAACCACTGAGCCTCCTGGGCTTGCCGATTGGAAGTTCGGCAGTTCGAATCCCCGCAATGGGGTGAGCTCCCGTTGCTCTGTCCCAGCTTCTGCCATCCTATCAGTTTGAAAGCACGTCAGTGCAAGTAGATAAATAGGTACCACTGTGGCAGGAAAGTAAACGGTGTTTCAGTGCGTTCCGTTTTCCGTCACGGTGTCCCGTTGTGCCAGAAGCTGCTTAGTCATGACCCACATGACCCGGAAAGCTGTCTGTGGACAAACGCCGGCTCCCTCGGCCTGAAAGCGAGATGAGCGCCGCAACCCCATAGTCACCTTTGACTGGACTTAACCGTCCAGGGGTCCTTTTTTGCTAGCAAAACTGAGTTACTGTGTCGCGAAATGATGCCTGTCTAAAAAGTGTGTTGCCAACATGAAAAGTTTGGAAAGCTCTGAGTTAGGACTTCCTTCTGAGTAGGCATGATAAGGATGCGCTGGAAATGTCTGAACATGCTGAAAGCATTTTAACGTTGACATGCTCTCTTTAAGCGTTCAGTATGAATCTTTTCATGTCGGATGATCTTATGTATGAGCGAACTAGCCCCACCCCCTTGACACTGAAATGCGCATTGGCCACTTACCCATTAAACACACTATTGGCATTGGTCCCAAGGGGGTCCTATGCACATATAGATGTGTGCCCTTGGAACTCCCTCCATGGGGATGCAACAGAAATGAACTGTGAATTGACAATGAGCATGACCACCACATGCTTCACCTCCCAGAGATGTGGGGGATAGCACTCCCATCTGCGATACCTTCACACATTCATTCTGAATGACTGAAAAGGGCTCCTCCCTGGTTAAGATATTCTCTGCCAGAGTCACAGTTGGGGCAATGATCTGAAATAGTTAACATATTTTCTGTAATGATAACGACCCTATTCTTATACCTGTCTTTAATAGTTGCATTCACACAAGTCTCAATCAAGTCTCAATCACGCCGTGCATAGTCTGTGAAATATTATGGTGTTTTTTGAGTACAGTTATTCATTGCCTTTCAATGAGGTCTTAATTTGACACGCAGAATCAAGGAACACAGCATTGATTTTATATCAGCATGCAAAGCACCAGGTATTTCTAATAAAGGAAATAAATTGCTTCTTAATTAAAACTGAATAAGGCAAAATCATGGATCTTGAAGATCTACATAGTATTAATACACAAGTAGTATTAAAATCTATTCTATACAAAGTGTGTTTTCACTCTAGAAAGATAAACAGCTCTCTAACTTGAAGTTGTAAAAAAAAAGTGTTTCCCTGTTTGATTGGCTCTTCTAGAAGTATGGTTTTCATTTTCTGTTTGAAGAATTTTAAGTAGGGTTTATCTTTCTCTCTTTTTCTAATTAATTTCCTTTCTCCCCTTTCCCCCTCTTTGTTTTCAAAGAAAATGTAAAAGAAATATTTGGGCAGACTGTTATTCACCATCACATCCCTTTCAATTGGGACTGCGAGTTCATTCGATTGCACTTTGGCCATAACAGGAAGAAACACCTGACATACTCGGAATTTACTCAGTTTTTGCAGGTCAGTTGCTTAGTTTCCTGTACTGTAATGATGGGTTCCTTCTCCTTGTGCTCAGCAAATGTTTGCAAAGTAGAGATACAGCCCAGCTTTATACTCACAAAGGATCCAATATTTTAAACCTTCATAGAAGCTAAAAGCTTTTATCTTGGCCAATAAACTATGAATGACTCTTCCCCCAACCCCACTCCAGATATATGTTTCTCGCAGATGAAGATTGTGGGTTGTAAAACAGCCACTGTGGAAGATGAAAGTCAAAATGCATTTGGCATTTTTCATCGCATTAAGTGGACTTTCAGCCGTTGAACTTGGGATTGCTTTCCATATTGTATCCAATTTGCATTGGATCAAGTTGATTTTGGGAAACAGTTTGAGACTGTTAGATCTGAAAAAAGTTGTTTTAAAATATTTTTCCATTGACTTGTAGGCTTTATTTGTCCTCTATTTATTTGTTTGCAAAGGGATATTGCATTAAAGAGCTGGTTAGATTTGATTTGTGTGCATCATCAGGCCACCCTTTTGTGAGTAAAAAGTATGTTGTTCTCTTGTGCTGCTTTTGTTTATTCTCTTGATCTTTGCTGCCCTTACTCTAACCTTAAAGGACTTGCTAATCAAAATACAGTTGTGGCTACCTTCACAGTTTCTATCCCTTTAAACAAAATGTGCTGCTGTGGTTATAATAACTTGGTCCACCTCACGATATCATGACAAGAATAAATTAGTTTTCTGACACCCTGATCCTAAATGATTTTCAGTGGTTTGCCCAACATGATATGAAAAAAGGAACATGGTGGCATCCAGATTGCTGATGTTCTTGTGATGACTGGTTTTCACAAGGTTTCTTTGCCATGTGCATATTCAGTTGGTCCAAGAACACAAGCCAGCATGAAATAAAGGGGGGGGGAACCCCACTAAGTAATTTAGCAAACCATCTCCTAGCATTGGATACAACTCAGAAAAATATTGGGTTGTACTGCTGCTATGTTTGGATTGCTTTCTCACCCTGTAAAACAGCCCCTGGATAAAATTCTTTGCCAAAAATGTTGAGTTCTAAAACTGGTGTAAATTATGAAAGTTTGTATCTCTTGGATCATTGTTCAGCAATCCGTTGACCTCAGGGAGGGGTGTGTGTGTCAGGGGCTCTTCCTCACAACCATAAATTTCTGCTAGATAATGTGCTGTTTACTAGCTTCTGAGACTTCACTAAACACTGCCACAGCCATCCTAAAAACTAGAACCTTGTATTGAAAATTTAAAAAGGTAAGCTTGCAAGTCTTATCGGTGAGAGTCCAGTTTTGAGTGAATCAGTTGTATCTAATGAAGTCATCCAATTAGTACAAGGACTTCTGCCTGCTCAACAGGACTTCCTCTCCTTGTACACCCCCTGAGCTCCTCCATCTGTTCTGGGGGTTCCGCCAGCCCTCCAGTGCAGAATTGGAGGGATACAAGAAATGTAAAGGGAGTCCTGTTGTTCAGGCGGATATCCTTGAGCTATCAGTTGACTCCGTTGGACACAATCCAGTTGGTATTAATTGTTATCATTCATTGGTTGTATGCCTTGTATCTTATTTCCAGCTGATGAAGACTATTACAAAACATTACACTGGTACCTCGAGTTAAGTACTTAATTCGTTCCGGAGGTCCGTTCTTAACCTGAAACTGTTCTTAACCTGGAGCACCACTTTAGCCAATGGGGGCCTCCTGCTGCTGCCGCTCTGCCGGAGCACGATTTCTGTTCTCATCCTGAAGCAAAGTTCTTAACCTGAAGCACTATTTCTGGGTTAGCGGAGTCTGTAACTTGAAGCGGATGTAACCCGAGGTACCACTGTAGTATCATTCTGGAGACACTGTCCTTTTGAGGCTTTTGAGATGTCTTCCATTGAAACTTTTGAGAGACTATTGAGAGACTTTAGAAACTTTTGAGACGTCTTCTGTTAAAACTTTGGAAAGACTATTGTGAGACTGTCCTTAGGCATCTGTTTTGGAACACACGGCTTGATGGTCCTCGCTACCTCTTTGTTATATTGTACATGTGAACTTTGATTGGCTTATTGCTATAATTTAAATGATATCATTATTCTATTATATATTCTCTACTAACTATTAGCCTACGTGTTGTGTTTGTATTGTTGTGATTGGATAGCCTTGTTGTGATTGGATGTGTTGTGATTGTTGTGATTGGATATCCAAGGTAAGGGATAGCCTTGTATGCCATACGCAGTGATGGTCATGTCAGTATGGATTGATAACTCATTATGGACTGGGCTGTCTTCAGGCTACATGCAGCGACAGCTTTTCCAAAAGTGCAGGACAGAGCACTGATCTGCACTGGCTTCTGCTGGTTTTTATTTCAGTATGCATCCAGGGTCAATGTGTAGATTCTGGGCATCAGTATGATGGGTATTTAGTACAAAGCTCTCAGTATATCATTTCTTATCATACTTTTTCAGGAGCTGCAGTCAGAACATGCCCGGCAAGCGTTTGCACTGAAAGACAAGAACAAAACAGGCACGATTACCGGCCTGGATTTTGGCAGCATCATGGCTACAATTCGTCCACACATGCTCACTCCTTTTGTGGAGGAGAACTTGGTTTCAGTAAGTATCAGGAAGCATGGGACACCGGGAATGAGGACTGAGATTCAGGTTCTCAAAAATTGCAGATTTGGGATCATCCGTTGCCCAGGCAAGATTTTGTGACCTCCACAAGGATTTTCCTGGTGGGGCTTACTAGAAAGAAGGCAATAACATAAATGAGCAGGTAGAAGAAATAAGAAATCTTCCAGCAATTGGTGGAGATCTAGCTATAGCTAGTGAAATCTTCTTCTCTTACTCTCCCCCTGCAGTCCCCTGTGTGCAGGTATTTCCAGGAACTGAAACATACAAAAAAAGACATATATTTTTTTCTTTCCACCCAGGCTGCAGGCGGATCCATTTCTCACCAAGTCAGCTTTTCGTATTTCAACGCTTTCAATGCCTTGCTGAACAACATGGAGCTTGTTCGAAAGATATACAGCCTCATTGCAGGTGCTAGAAAAGATGTCGAGGTTACAAAAGGTAAAGCATTGTATGCCATAAACTCTTGAGATTACTGAAGCTGGAGCAATACTTGGCCCCTGTTACTCATTGATAGAGTATCTAGTTTGCCTGCTGAAGATCTGTATTCAGTCCACAGTTAGGAGGACCAGGTAGCTGGCGATGGGAAACACCTCCACCTGGGGGAGCCCTGGCCAGTCAGTCTGACCTGATGTAAAGCAATTGATCAAGTATCTATGATACATATCACCTAGGTGAGCAAGCTTCCCCATGCATGGAGCCCATGTAATATCCCTCATCCCTTGAAATGAATGGGCTGAAGAGCTCCATTACTACATCAGAACTTCAGCAGCTGCAAAAGATAGTTGACTCAAGGCAGGCATAGGTAAACTCGGCCCTCCGGATGTTTTGGGACTACAACTCCCATGATCCCTAGCTAACAGGATCAGTGGTCAGGGATGATGGGAATTGTAGTTCCAAAACATCTGGAGGGCCGAGTTTGCCTATGCCTGACTTAAGGCAACAGTCCATGCTCTGTCAATTGTTCATTTGCAAACTTATACCCTGCCTCTTAACTACGAGAGCCCCTAAGGGCAGCAGCTTACAATACAAAAATATGCATTAAATCAAACAGTAAAAATACACAGAAATTTAGAGCTAAAAAACTAGTGTCACAGTAAACTATTTTGGGATTGTAAGATCTCAAAGGGGGGAAGAAAGGATGGAAGGTACCAATGTTAGAAATAAGGAAAGGATGTTCATGTATGTAATTACAGCAGTGAGAATTATTGTGGCAAGGAATTGGAAAAGTGAAATACTACCAACGATAACAGATTGGCAAATACTCATGATAGCATGATTTGTAAAAGGTCCACGTAGGCTGCCTGCTTTTTCTGTATTCTAGTAACTGGAAATATAATTAGATAAGGACTCCTCTTGGGCATGTAGCCCCTTAAACTTAATTTGAGTCAGTATTCAGTTATTTCTTTTTCAATGGCTGGGTCTGGTCTTGGATATTATAGAGCAGAGCTGTAGAAGAGAGTGCCTCTGACCACATGCAGAGTACTTTTCTCTCCCTACTGAAGAGCTGCAATCCATCTGTGTTTAGGAGAAGTATGTCCAGGGCAAAATTATGCGATTGGATCTCAAAAATCTAACAAATTTTAGAGCAAACTGTTCATTTCACCCTGGTCTTTGGATTTTGCTCCCAGAACGTTAAGCCAAACTGTAGATTGTGTATTTAAAAGTTCCAATAAGTTATGCATAATTAGTTTGTGTTTTTTTGTTTTAACCCGTTGCTTTAAAACAGAGGAATTCTCTCAGTCTGCAATCAAATTTGGACAAGTTACACCTTTGGAGATCGATATCCTTTTTCAGCTCTCCGATTTGTATAATGCCTCAGGGTAATCTTAACTTTTTCGTAATATTAATGTTTCTAGAGCGTTGTCATTAGATAGAGGTTATTGTTGTGTGTGGTTTTTTTCATTGACAACTGTGGGATGGAAATTCTGTGCACACAGTGTGGTCTTGTGATGGTGTGTGTGTGCCACTCAGTGTATATGCAGTGTGACATAGGGCTAGGGCAATATATGCCTATATCTGTGCCCTCATACACCTGGTTACCACAGTTCCCTCCCTTGCTTTTGAGGGTAAAAGTTTCCAGTGTATATTCAGTCCATAGCGGTCAACCTTCCCTTTTTTGGCGGGAAATTCCCTTATTCCAGCGCCGTTTCCCGCTGCTTCCTGCTGCTATCCTGGATTGTTAGATATCCCGTAGACTGTTCCTGGGACAGGTGAGGCTGCTGATCCCTTATTTTCGAGACTGCTGATCCCTTATTTTCAAATCTGAAAGTTGACAGCTATGGTTCAGTCTTTTATTACTTTATTCACATTAAGGACTGCACATGGGTTCAGATTCCTACTCAGCCATCATGAAGCTCACTGGGTAACACTGGGTCAGTCTTACTTATCTCACAGGGTTGTTGTGAGGATAAAATGAAGGGCAGAACCAAGGGTGCTGCCATGCGCTCCTTGGAAGAAAGTCTGGATATAAATGCAGCCAAATCAAATCAAATATGCTTTGTGGATGTGTAATTTTGGATTGCAAGTGGATTGCAAGTGAGATTACATTTTTGAGGGCAGTGGTACCTTGGTTCTCGAACTTAATTCGTTCCCGGAGTCCGTTCAACTCCTGAAACCGTTCAAGAACCAAGGAGCAGCTTCCGATTGGCTGCAGGAGCTTCCTGCACTCAACAGAAGCCGCATTAGATGTTCGGCTTCTGAAAAACGTTCACAAACCGGAACACTTACTTCCGGGTTTGTGGCGTTCAGGAGCTGATTTGTTCGGCAGCTAAGCTGTTCAGGAACCAAGTTTTCACTGCAATACCTCTTTGCAAATATAAAAACTGGAATGTTGCAGAGAAGGTTGAATGTAGAATCTTGATGTAGAATCTTTCCCTGTGATGTGCTAGTTTTCTGTGTACAGGGATGAGTATTTGATGGGAGAGTTTGGGCAATAATAGCTCAGGTTAATCAAGATATGAACGAGCCTTTTGCTCATGCAAGGAGACTCTTTCCATGAACTTCAATTTATTATTATTATTATTATTATTATTATTATTATTATTATTATTATTTATGATTTATACCCCGCCCATCTAGCTGGGTTTCCCCAGCCACTCTGGGCGGCTTCCCTAATAGGCCGTCAGATATTAAAAGCTTCCCTAAACAGGGCTGCCTTCAGATGTCTGGTAGTTGTTTTTTCCTTTGACATCTGTTGGGAGGGTGTTCCACAGGGTGGGTGCCACTACCAAGAAGGCCCTCTGCCTGGTTCCCTGTAACTTAAACCAGGAAGCCTCAAACAACCATAGTTTCTTGTTTCATCAGAACTGGAGAAACTACGTTTTTTGAATAAGCCAGGGCATTAAGTCAACCTCAAACCATGATTTAATATCCTGGCAGGGTCCAAAGCTCTGTAGGCTGAGGTATGGTAGTCTGAAATGTGCCTGATGGGTTTGGGCTTGCTGTTACGTTTAACAGGGATTTCTTTTCCCTGGTCTTGAATTGCAGACGCTTGACGCTGGCAGACATTGAGAGAATAGCTCCCTTGGCTGAAGGAGCCTTGCCTTACAACTTGGCAGAACTTCAGAGGCAGGTAGGTACCTTCAAGAAAATATGGAGGCCAGCCAATCCCAGTAAACTTTATGGTTATGGCTTTAAACTAGGGCTTCTGAGATTATAATTTTGAAATCTTTCCCATGATATCCAAATTTATATTTGTTCAGTCCATGGACACATGAGCGCCCTGTAGTTTTTGGGAAAGTTTTCCACCCTTCTGAAACGGCCCTTGTCAAACCATCAAAATGATTTTTGAACTGTTCTGTGTAATAGAAAGTGCTTGATCTGAGAGGCGGTGATTTAACCAGGACTGCCTTTGGTCTGTGTGTGTCCCCTCCTTTTCAGCAGTTCTTGCAACACCTCTTCCACCAAACATTTGTTTTGTTTTTTTAAAAATTGGGCTGAAAAATGGCAGTTTGAAGGAAACAGACACAACCTTCTTGTGACGTGGGGACCTCTAGGCTGCAGCACAGCATTCCCAAAGAAGTTGCTCATTATCATAACAAAATAGCTGGCTGTTGCTCTGGCCTTTCAGAATATTGTTGCCTTCAGACGCTTGCATTTGTGTTTTAGGTTTGTGAAACTATGTTAAAAATAAATACTTTGTTGAAAAAAGAAATAAATACACCCGAAACAAATCCTTTTAAAAAGTACAAATCTGGATGCTTGCACAAGCTGCCGTGTATTGATTTGTTTCTGGAGGAAAAGCACAGTCTAGTCAAATTATTTTATGAGGCCTTGTATGTGGATTATACTGTTTGCAAATTACTGCATTATCTGGATTGTTTTGTGTTAAAGCTCATTTTCGAAATTAACTTGTCTCTAATATTTTGGCATATTTCCTTCTCTTGCCTGATAATGCCACCCTGTCTTTGTTGATTTTTTATTTTACAATCAGCACATGAAAGATTTGTTGGACTAATTATCCCTCATGGAGATTGACCAGGACTGTTTGGCTAGACTAATTTATTGAATTTTGCTTATGTGGTTTGATTGTTTTTAGCCCTTGTCTCCATAGCAACAGGGTTTTTATTTTTTATTTTTTTTAATTAACTCAAACTTTTGGCTGCTGGGAAAACGCTGCTTTAAAGTAGCCCTGCTTAAAATGAATGGAAATTCTCTGGAAAAGAAGGGGTTGCATATTTTGCAGCCTTAATGAATTGTCACCTGCTAAGAAATACAGGCCTTCCTGGAATCTTTTGTGTTTTGGGAACAATCAAAGATTTAGCATTACTTGGGCCTGATTCTGTCTTTGGATGATCAGATTATATCAACTAAAAAAAGACTTCTGCAGCCTACATTTCAATTAGAACCTCAATGAAAGTTCAAGAAGCAACCTTGGTAGAATTAAGCATTGTTCTAAGGCGGGTTCTCCTCCTCCTCCCTTCTCTCTGCACTTTTCCATCCTTCTTCTCGTAACAGAAGTGGTGTTGCTGTCCTTCTACTTCCCCTACTCTTACTCCTTTTCTTGCTGCCACATTAGCGGTGGCAAATTCTAACGAAGAGCCCCCCACACCATGGGTGGACGTGATGGTTTGTTGTTGTTTAGTCGTTTGGTCGTGTCCGACTCTTCGTGACCCCATAGACCAGAGCATGCCAGGCACTCCTGTCTTCCCCTTTCTCCCGCAGTTTGGTCAAACTCATGCTGGTAGCTTCGAGAACACTGTCCCACCATCTCGTCCTCTGTCATCCCCTTCTCCTTGTGCCCTCCATCTTTCCCAACATCAGGGTCTTTTCCAGGGAGTCTTCTCTTCTCATGGGGTGGCCAAAGTATTGAAGTCTCAGCTTCAGGATCCGTCCTTCCAATGAGCACTCAGGGCTGATTTCCTTCAGAATGGAGGAGTTTGATCTTCTTGCAGTCCATGGGACTCTCAAGAGTCTCCTCCAGCACCAGAATTCAAAACCATCAATTCTTTGGCGATCAGCCTTCTTTATGGTCCAGCTCTCACTTCCATACATCACTACTGGGAAAACCATAGCTTTAACTTTACAAAGCTTTACAAAGTTCTAAAAGTCTTTCCAGCCACTGTGGCCATGCCACTGACTCTCTCCTTTAAAAAAAACCAGAATATATACATTTCCTTGATTTTACAGTCCTTTTTGACATTTTCAAACTTGACTTCCTTCCCCCTCTTTCTGCGTTTCCTTAAATTTATTTTTAATATCTCCTGCATATCCAAATTAACTTAACTTAAAAAAAGGTAAAGGTACCCCTGCCCGTACGGGCCAGTCTTGACAGACTCTAGGGTTGTGCGCCCATCTCACTCTAGAGGCTGGGGGCCAGCGCTGTCTGGAGACACTTCCGGGTCACGTGGCCAGCGTGACAAAGCTGCATCTGGCGAGCCAGCGCAGCACACGGAAACGCCGTTTACCTTCCCGCCAGTAAGCGGCCCCTATTTATCTACTTGCACCCGGAGGTGCTTTCGAACTGCTAGGTTGGCAGGCGCTGGGACTGAGCAACGGGAGCGCACCCCGCCACGGGGATTCGAACTGCCGACCTTTCGATCGGCAAGCCCTAGGCGCTGAGGCTTTTACCCACAGCGCCACCCGCGTCCCACCCTAACTTAACTTACTCATTTATTTATCTTCTTTAAATATATGCTCTTATGTAGCTGCAGGTTATTACAGTGCTACCTTGGTTCTTGAACTTAATCCGTTCCAGAAGTCCGTTTGACTCCCGGAACAGTTCAAAAACCAACCGCGTGGCTTCCGATTGGCTGCAGGAGCTTCCTGCACTCAAGCGGAAGCCGCGTTGGACTTTCGGCTTCCGGAAAACGTTCGCAAACCGGAACACTTCTTTCCAGGTTTGCGGAGTTTGGGTGCTGATCTGTTTGGCGACTAAGCTGTTCGAGAACCAAGGTACCACTGTACAATAATCTTGTCATTGTTTTTATCTGTTTAAAATTTGTGAATATTCAATAAACCATTCCCCTTCTTTTATAAAAAGTTTGTTATCTTGCTTTCTTACTCTTCCGGTAAGTTTCACAATTTCTGCATATTCCATAAGTTTTTGTATCCATTCTTCCTTCGCTGGGACTTCTTCTTCTTTCCATTTTGGGGCAAGTGACATTCTTGCCGCTGTAGTCTCGTACGTGAATAAATTTCTGTTCAATTTAGGTAGTTCTATCCCCATAATTCTCAATCTGCTGGCCTTTTTCCCGACCACCTCTCCCAGAGTGCCTTTCTCAGAAGTGAGATGACAGTGGAGAGCCTCATCCAGTGTGAGTGTAGTGGAGAGCCAGTGTGGTGTAGTGGTTAAGAGTGGTAGACTCGTAATCTGGTGAACCGGGTTTGCTTCCCCACTCCTCCACATGCAGCTGCTGGGTGACCTTGGGCTAGTCACACTTCTCTGAAGTCTCTCAGCCCCACTCACCTCACAGAGTGTTTGTTGTGGGGGAGGAAGGGAAAAGGAGATTGTTAGCTGCTTTGAGACTCCTTAGGGTAGTGATAAACCGGGATATCAAATCCAAACTCTTCTTCTTCTTCATCCGGTGGCCAGTAAGGAGGCGAGGCAGCACTGGTTCACTCCCTCCCCCAGTCTCATTCCAGGCAGGGCTGGTGATGTTCCCAGCCTGAAACACGAGATATACACTTCCAGTCAGAGTAAGCAACACTAAGCTAGATGGATGAGTGGCCTGACTCTGTATAAGGTAGCTTCCTATGCTCCTAAGGGGAGAAGGAGGCAACGTCTCGTGTTGGGACCTCTATGCCCTGCATTGCCATGTCAGCACAGCAGTGCATGAGAACAGGTCATTAGACTAATGAAGAGGGCGATCTGTGCAAGGGGAATTTGGCTGCGGAGAGCAATCTTAGATAACGGAAGCCGTAACTTTTTAAATATTTTTATTAACATACCCTTTCCGCCTAGTTGGCAAAGATAAAAGAAGGGGACGCTGCCAGTCTTTCAATCATACTTGCAGCTGATATTCTCACGGAAAGGTTTTCTTTTGTCTAGCTGCTAAATATCTGTGTACAGTGGCTTCACGGAGTGATGCCAGTGACAGTAATTTTCTATTTATAAATATTCATGCTCTGAAAGCCATAGCATTAATTATACTAATTTGCATATCCTATGTGAATCCAGGCACGTGGCGGGGTATAGTAAGCGCCTTCATAAATAGGCTTAAAGTTATATTTCCATTAGAAGGGAGGAGAAGACAGGCTCAGGGTGACGTATGCTTAGGACTCGCTTCAGTGCACAGTTTTGCTAGGATTTCATGAGGATTGCAAGGAAATGAAGAAATACAGGCTAAGTTCACACGTAATGGTAAACTATGGTTTAGCAATATGAGGACGGTTGGCAGTGAGCCATGGACTCCCTCCTAATCCTCCTTTGGCGTGGTAGGGAGGAAGAACTTAGAGGCATTCAATTCCCTTTTCATCTAATTTCAGCTTGTTGTCACGTCTGAACCTGAATGATTGTTAATATTTCCACCAACCATAGATTAACCACAGTTTAGTGTTCAGTTTAGTGTTTAGTAAGAGGGACATGGGTGGCGCTGTGGGTTAAACCACAGAGCCTAGGACTTGCTGATCAGAAGGTCAGCGGTTCGAATCCCCGCGGCGGGGTGAGTGCCCGTTGCTTGGTCCCAGCTCCTGCCAACCTAGCAGTTTGAAAGCACGTCAAAGTGCAAGTTGATAAATAGGTACCACTCCGGCAGGAAGGTAAATGGCGTTTCTGTGCACTGCTCTGGTTCACCAGAAGCAGCTTAGTCATGCTGGCCACATGATCCGGAAGCTCGGCCAATAAAGTGAGATGAGCACCACAATCCCAGAGTCGACCACGACTGGACCTAATGGTCAGGGGTCCCTTTACCTTTACTATGGGCAAAATGCTAAACAGTGGTTATTCTAAAACAGAAGCTTCTGGTCTAAAGATGTTTCAGAGGCGGAGGGGAGCAAACTTGAGTTTTGCTACAACTCAAGCATGGTTTAGTAGCCAGTGAAGCATAAATGAAAAACAGTCCATGGAGTACAGGAAGAACTTCAACTGGAAATGCTTCAGCAGGCCTGCAGCTTTTAATTCATCCATATTTGGTTTAACCATAAAATCCAATAGTGCCTTGGTTCCCACGTTCCATGAGCACAGACTTTAAATCGCGTTGCATGCAAAAGGGCATTTGAGTGCTGACCTAGCAGTATATCTTGTAAACGTGGGAATGAGAGAAAGTCATTGTTGTCCGTGTGCATCTTCACAAATTAGTTTTTCAGTTACGCTGTCTCTGGGATGCGAGAGAGAGGGAAATGCAATCCTTAGAAGTAAACCCCCAGTTAATGTGTTTAAGAGAGCTGCCTGATCATTTTTATTCTTACTTAAAGCTCAGTGCACAGCTGCTTTCAGTTCTCATAACAGGGTTTTGGGGTTTTTTTTGCCCAATTTCATGTCTTATTCTCTATCCCTCCCTCCCTCCCTCCCCCCCCCCCCACCCCCGCTCCACCGACCCCCGTTCTTCACTCACAGCAATCTTACGGTGATCTGGGCAGACCTATCTGGCTCCAGGCAGCTGAGTCGGCTTACAGGTTCACTCTGGGCTCAATTGCTGGAGGTGAGTGACATGTCTCTGTGTGCTGTTTCCAAGCTGGGATTGCTGTAATATTATCTAGCCGGGCTGGTTGCAGATCAGCTAAGTTGGAGTTCATTGTCCTCCCACCCCCAGGGTAGGAATGGTGGAGCTCTGAAGAGAGCTCTTTATTGTTACTTAAAAAAAAAAAAACCCCCGAAAAAACCCCAAGCCTATGATCAGAAGTCCTGACAGAACATGACCTTGGCACTACAGGCTCCAGACAGTCTTTGGAGCAAAACTTGCAGAACGACAGACTTCTCAGATATAGCCTCGGACTCCCCTCTTAATTATATTTGATGGGATTGATACCAAACTCAGAAAGGGAAATGAAGGCCGGGGACAAATACAGTGTCTTTAATAAAGAGGCTGAAGACATCGCATTTTTCCTGCTCCCTTGTTTCACTTTTGGTATATAATTTGGTTGAGACTTACAGTATTTTTTCGTGTATAAGACTAGGGTGTGTTTTTTTTTACCAAAAAATTAGGTTTAAAATGGGGGCTTGTCTTATACACGGGTAGTGCTGAGGGTGTTTTCTTAATTTGGAGTCCCCCAAAATAGTCTTATACATGGGAGTGACTTATACACGGAAAAATACGGTATATATAGACATTAGTCATCTTTGAACTACTGATTTATGATAATATTACAAAATAATATTATGAAACGGGGCATAGCAAGAGGCCATGAAACACACCTATGTGTGCTCCAGGTGCTCCAGCTCCAGTATTCTGTTTACTGTAGATTTTCATACCCATCTGAGCAGTTGCCGTTTTAAGGGTGAATTGTACTCCTTCCGCTGCAGAGAACAGCAGCTGTTTGGGACTAGGGTGAAAGGGGATGCAGGATGCTGCAATGAAGCGTGTCTCCAGCTTAATGAGCCTCTGTAACGAGATGATTTTTGTTGTTGTTTGGAAGGCCTGCATCCATCAGTCTCCTAATCGTTTGAGACACCCTGAGAGCTAGGCCACATTTTTCAGTATTGGCTTCTCTTCAGCAAGGAAAAGCAGGGCTTCCCTCTGCCCAGAGAACTTTCCTGCAAAATGCAACATTTCCAAAGAATATCTCCCCATCCCCAGCGCTGTTCAGCAGTGAGGTTGGAAGGAATGCTTTGCGATCTGAGCTTCATTTTAGGCAAAGGCTTGAGTGGTTAAGCCGGTTTTTCCGCATCAGAATTCAGCCCTGGAAAATGTGAAGTATGAATGGAGAACATATGCAGATTACCAGGCAATCCTAATTACCCCACCCTCCCACTCAGGACTGTGGGTAAGAGTTCCATGGGCATAAGCAGAGTGTCCTTCACAGGGGTGCCAACTTGAATAAAATATGGAGGGGGGCAGGTAAGCCCTGTCCCGCATAATCAATCACATGATGTGGTTCACGTACACCATTTGAATGGCAATGCCCATCAATTTGGGGCGGGTGCCCTTTCAAATATTTTATTGGGGGGGCCCTAAAGACCCCTTTGCCCTTAGGAGTTGGCTTCTATGGTCCTTCATATTTTTCCTGTCCTAAGTCCTACATTTGACTCTGTTCTCCATCAAACTCCTTTATGTCTCGGGGCTCTTGTAACACCGTTCATATGTCTCATAATTATTTATTAATTTATTTAGAAGATTTATAAACCGCTTGCTAAAAAAACAACACCTCTCCTAGCAGTGTACAAATAAAAATTAGAGAGTGAACACAGCTAAAATCCACACTCCAGATAAAAGCAATCGAAACAAACCTAAAAGCAAGAGCAGAAGCATTATTCCACGCTAGCATGTTTTGTTTGGGCACAGTGAGAAACTGGAATATAAACTTTTGTTGTT